CGTTTATAAAATTTTATTGTTGTTCTCGATTTGATTTTTATTTTATTACCTCGTCTCCATAGTTACTAGTTGCAAATAGTCAATAATATTGTAGGTCCATTTTATTGTTGTTCTTTCAACGCGTCGTTATAACACATTTTCATCTCATCATTTAATTTCTGTTGTGCATATTTTGTTGTATAAACGAAGTTTTATAATAATGGAATGTACGAAAAGTGACCCGAAAACGGGGCTAACTCGGTAACCCGTGGCTCGATTTTAACGAAACTTGGTTTATTCTGTTTCTGTTCTCATTTCATTACAAATATGGCGGTATTGTGCGCCGTTTTTGCTGTATTTAATTACAGATAAGCACACACACAAACAATCTCAAAGTTGGAACATCACAGTAAATTTTATAAATTAACGTATACTTCAATATCAAATAGTTTGTAAAAGCGTTGGTAGTAATAAAAAAACAAATATATTTACATCTGGGGTGTAAGGGTCGTTTATCTAAACATTTATCACAATGTGAAAATCCCTTCAGTATGCACTACAAGCTTTGAAAGAAAACATAGACCGATTGACTGAACACGTTATAATGAGTCAGAGTTAAATGTCTCCATGTTAATGTTAATGACCCACAGATGGAAAGGAAAATAACTGCATGTAGTCTCAATGATTGTGGCAGACATTTTGACTAAGGCATGGAGAAAGTTCATTTACAGACAAAGTTTTATGAATTTTATTTGTATGGTATGTTTTATAGTGAATATTGTATAGAAAATATTAAGTTCTGGTACTTTAAACATTTTCTATAATAGTACAGTGATTGGTTAAACATTAGGATGTGACTATCTCCTAACAAACAGTATCTTTAACGTTAGACAATCTCAAAGTTTTATGGAATTTGAATCTTCAAGGGAAGGGATGGATAAACAAAGACTGAATATTAACAATGTTAATGACCAAATTAAACTCTAAATTCTATCAGCCCCTCTCTTCTTAGTAAAAGGTTCACATACCGTTAGCTGTGAGTCAATAAGATTGAAGTGTTACTTGGTTGTATGTTTTCAATATTAATGACGTCAGCTTTGTATTTCCTACTTATTACTGTGGTTTTTAACACGTATGTGATGTAAGTTACATCTCTAATGTAGGAGAAAGTTCAGTCCTCAAAGATTTATGAAAAAAAAGTTAATGCTGCTATTCTATAATAGTTATTAAAAACAATTATTATGTAACAAAATGATTTACTACAGAGCTTATTAACTAGAGGTTAAAATTAAAGTTAGTGAAATATGCGTTCTGCGTGTATAGAAATTTTATATGTTTAAAAAGCGTCCTTTTCAGAATGTAAAAGTAATAGAACAAAAACTATCATCTGTGTGTTAAATGATTCGATATTTATTTAAACATTGGGTATGATATTATTCTTTCATGAGAGGTAATTGTAAATTATTTGTTTCATTCAAATGAATGTGTGATAAAAACTGACTTGTGTAACACTGTTATAATAGTTTTATCGTTAAATAATACCTTTACTTAGGACATTGATAACGTAATCGCATGTTGAGAAACATTGAAAAACAATTTGCCTTACTAACACAATGTATATGTAGAACACCATATCAGAATGATTTACTTATAAAAGGTCAGGAAGTATTCATTAAATATAGAATGAATTAGTGTTTTATACCGTGTGTGTGTGTGTATTAGTATTTTCTTATCGCAACGCCACATCTGGCTATCTGCTGTGTCCACTGAGGGGAATCGAACCCCTGATTTAAAATTTATAAATCCGAAAACTTACCGCCATCCCACTAGTGTACGTTTTATACCGACTGTATTAAATCTAACCATTGATTACAGGTTGAGACATGATCTCATAATGATTGTGGTTCCATTACGTGGAACTATGACGTCATTCTCGCCTATCATGGCGGCCTAACAACATGCCCTCTAGTTCCACTTCTTGGAATTATGACGTCATCGTCTCTATCCATCTTCTACTGAGAGCTTTCTATTGACACTTCGTGGACGTCATCGTTTTTGGTGACATCGGTGTCTCTGAACCTTCCCTCGCCCCTTCCGAATGCCTGGCGACCAACTCTCTGAGGTGGCATTCTTTGGACACGGGTTAATCGGAGTAACTACTCGTGTCTGTATCACATTTGGATCCCAAGAATGTGGTTGTATCATATGTAAATTCCCGAGAATGTGACTTTGACGTGTAGAATCGCCAGAATGTAGTTGTATGACATGTAGAATCCCACTAGTGTGGCTGTATGATGTGTAGAATCCCACTAGTGTGGCTGTATGATGTGTAGAATCCCACTAGTGTGGCTGTATGATGTGTAGGATCCCAAGAACGTGGCTGTATCACATATAGAATCCTAAAAGTATTACTTTAACAGTTAAACAGAAAATTAAAGCACGACGTTAAAAGCAGAAACTAGGTTTAAGCAACTTGATTAGAAGAGATTGTTTGGTGTCAATGTTGTAAGTGAACTTTTCATCCATATGAGACCAGTATCTCAACTACATATCTCTATTAATGTGTTTCAATTTAGGCTTTAAAATAAATAAATATAGGATGAAGCACTAGAGGGAACAACACTTCCATGATAACGAATATACTTTACAATGATCAAACAATTCTGGAAGTCCATGCCTTGTCGAGTTTATACTAAAAATGGACCGTTGCCTAACATTACTGCTTCACATAAAATGAAGGTAATTAATGTTTTATACACTATGAATTATAATGAATGTCTACTAAACATTTTTCCATTTTCAAATAGAGTAACGTAGCATATTTCGGTTACTCTTTCTCTTTCAGGAGTTTTGGAGATACAGTAACATAACGTGTTCCGGTTATCCATTAAACGCCCTTGATAGTATTCTTCCTAGCGGAGAAACGAGTAAGTCTGTTCAGCTTTTACTCTTTGGTTGAATTTAATGTATAGAACATTTCAACTAAAAAATACAACTAAGTATGTTCAGCTTTTACTCTTTGGTTGAATTTAATGTATATAACATTTCAACTAAAAAATACAAGTAAGTATGTCCAGATTTTACTCTTTGGTTGAATTTAATGTATAGAACATTTCAACTAAAAAATACAATTTTTGATCTATTTTACATAAACCATAACACACGATAATTTAGTTACAGAACTTGCAATAAACGTAATCAATAATCAACAAGTCTAAACCATAACACACGATAATTTAGTTACAGAACTTGCAGTAAACGTAATCAAGGATCAACAACTCTAAACCATAACACACGATAATTTAGTTACAGAACTTGCAGTAAACGTAATGAAGGATCAACAACTCTAAACCATAACACACGATAATTTAGTTACAGAACTTGCAGTAAACGTAATCAAGGATCAACAACTCTAAACCATAACACACGATAATTTAGTTACAGAACGTGCAATAAACGTAATGAAGGATAAACAACTCTAAACCATAACACACGATAATTTAGCTACAATACTTGCAATAAACGTAAGCAAGGATCAACAACTCTAAACCATAACACACGATAATTTAGTTACAGAACGTGCAATAAACGTAATGAAGGATAAACAACTCTAAACCATAACACACGATAATTTAGTTACAGAACTTGCAATAAACGTAAGCAAGGATCAACAACTCTAAACCATAACACACGATAATTTAGTTACAGAACTTGCAGTAAACGTAATCAAGGATAATATTGATATTATCTAATGGTAGTAATTACTAAAATGCTTTATGAATATGTGTGACGATAATATGAAATAATTATTATAAAAATTGCAATTCATAAATTTATTGTGGAAAATAGCTGTATTGAAATTATCTTTAAAGTAGAATCTTTAAATTTCTTTATTGTTCTTGCTGTTTCTTCTAGACTGGAACTCGGCTCTTATTATAATTTTAAATGGCAAAACGACTGAGCATCTAGACATGCTCGACGGTGGTGTCATCCAGCGGTTGTTAGAAGAAAAATGGAAAACGTTTGCTAGGGTAAGGCCTAATAGAAAAATGGAGAATATAAAAATATTTTATGCTTGAGTAAGGAAGCACATTATGGTAACATAATAATAGTTTGGCAAACAACGATTTATAAGCATAAGGAAGAATTTTATTGATGTTAGAACATTCCTCATGTTTCAACATAACTTTAATATGTCTTCTTCAGGTTTGACCAATGTTCTGTCGAAACACGTTGGATGTTCCGTCAGCAATATAAAATTTTTTTATAAATCGTTGTTTGCCAACCTGTTATTAAGTATCTTATGCTGTTACACGTAATATTTGACTTAATGTAACTCAAGTAATGTATATTTGTTTTCCTACAGTAACTAAAGTAACATTTATTTTAAACATGCCTTGTATTTTCAAATGTTTTAAGATATTTGTATTTTCAAACACACATTTAAATATTTTGTTTCTTGAATGCATACTCTTTATTAGAAGATTTATTCTATTAAATATTTCAAGAGCCGTTTTGTCCTTAACCAAAACTTTCAGCTTTTATTTTTTTTAAATGGAGTTTTAAAGAAACCATTTTATCATTATTATTTTATTCTTTTTATAAATAAATTAGCCGAATATTTTGTGAAGTATGTTCGTGGAGCATTTCAGCATTTTGTGTTTGCTACCAGCCGAATATCTAGCCCATCCCTGTTCGCAGATTTTGGCTGGTTTTGTCATTTTGTTATTGCTGCATTTCAAAGATTAAATAGTTTTGAAATATTGTTTGTTTGTTTAATTCTGCGCTGAGCTACTAGAGGGCTATCTACGTTAACCGTTCCTAATTTAGAGAGAAATGAGTTACACCACACATCGATTACTCTTGAGCTACTTTTTACCAAAGAAAAGTGGGATTGAACGTCACATTATAACGTAGCCACGGCTTTTGAGCTTCAAATTAATAGAGACAATGAAAAACATGTTTTTTTTTCCAGTACTATGAAACCTTGCACGTAATCACGTATTATTGTAAGCCACACAAAACTGAATGTTATGAGAAGTATAAGCTTTTAATCATCGGGCAAAAATATGTTCCTTCAAGGCAAAATAGCGATGAATAAATTTATTTTACTAAATTCGTCCCCTCCCTACTGGTATTTAACGTGACTTTATATCGTAACTAGACACGAACCCCCTAATGATCTTTACTGTGACTCCTTATCGTGACTAGACAGGAACCCCCTAATGATCTTTACTGTGACGCCTTATCGTAACTAGACAGGAACCCCCTAATGATCTTTACTGTGACTCCTTATCGTAACTAGACAGGAACCCCCTAATGATCTTTACTGTGACTCCTTATCGTAACTATCCAGGACCCCTAATGATCTTTACTGTGACACCTTATCGTGACTAGACAGGAACCCTCTAATGATCTTTACTGTGACTTCTAATCGTGTTTGTATAGGAAAACCCTACTGGTATTTAACGTGACTTCTAATATTGACTAGACTGAAAACCCCTGCTGATTCAGTTTTAGTTTTATTGAGGGTTCATCACACCTTACATTAACAATTTGTGGTTCTAAGTTGTGGTTTCACGGGTGACACTTTTAACACCGATATGTTTGATTCACAGCGAATTCCAACCCGTTGACTTTTCCCCTGCCGCTTGAGCTCTCACTTCTTTTCGTACGGATATTCGTATAACAAGATCTGTAAACAATGTAGAACCAATGTAGTCTTTTAGTGCGGATATTCTTATAACGAGATCTGTAAACAATGTAGAACCAATGTAGTCTTTTAGTACGGATATTCGTATAACAAGATCTGTAAACAATGTAGTCTTTTAGTACGGATATTCGTATAACAAGATCTGTAAACAATGTAGAACCAATGTAGTCTTTTAGTGCGGATATTCTTATAACGAGATCTATAAACAATGTAGTCTTTTAGTACGGATATTCTTATAACGAGATCTGTAAACAATGTAGAACCAATGTAGTCTTTTAGTACGGATATTCTTATAACGAGATCTATAAACAATGTAGAACCAATGTAGTCTTTTAGTACGGATATTCTTATAACGAGATCTGTAAACAATGTAGTCTTTCAGTACGGATATTCTTATAACGAGATCTATAAACAATGTAGAACCAATGTAGTCTTTTAAAGAATATCCGTAGTAAAATACTACATTGGTTCTACATTGTTTACAGATCTTGTTATACGAATATCCGTACTAAAAGACTACATTGGTTCTACATTGTTTACAGATCTTGTTATAAGAATATCCGCACTAAAAGACTACATTGGTTCTACATTGTTTACAGATATCGTTATAAGAATATCCGTACTAAAAGACTACATTGTTTACAGATCTCGTTATAAGAATATCCGTACTAAAAGACTACATTGGTTCTACATTGTTTACAGATATCGTTATAAGAATATCCGTAACTACATTGGTTCTACATTGTTTACAGATCTCGTTATACTAAAAGACTACATTGGTTCTACATTGTTTACAGATCTCGTTATAAGAATATCCGCACTAAAAGACGGATATTCTTATAACGAGATCTGTAAACAATGTAGTATTTTAGTACGGATATTCTTATAACGAGATCTGTAAACAATGTGGTCTTCAGTGTTTAAGATGAAACAATCACATACCAGAGCGTTTATGACATCAACACCCATAGTTACTCCTGAGGTTTGAGCAAGGTCCTCATTTACCAAAGTGAAAGATATTGTAAAGAAAGAGATCCATTCAACCAAAAGAGTCATTATGATGAGAATTGACGTATCTTTCGGTACTGATAATATTAAGACAAACAGTTCTTTACGATTCCAGACTCCTTGAAATCAACTTTTTTTTTTCATAAACGGTTGAAATCGTTTGTTTTTGGCGTTTGTATTTTTTTAGAAAGATGACCAAATAAAACGGAATCACAGAGATAATTTGACTACGTAACTGATATAGGAAAACGTGTATTTTTGTGCGTTTGATCTGTTTAAATGTAGTGTTGGAACTGAGAACTACAGAAGCTCACTGTAATGAACAGTAATGTGTAATCATGCCCGTCAGACTAAGCAAAATTAACGATGGTCGTGTAATTCCAATTGAAACACTGTTGTTAAAAGGTGTGAATATATTTATATCATGGTGTCTGAGTGCATTCCTTTCTAACAACATAGGTAGAATATAACTTGATCTTTTCATCTGTTTTTAGAAAGAATTTATAAAGCGTCTTGGCATTACTTTTCTACATCTCATCGTTCTGAGCATAGCCGTGTTTCTTCGGCCTCCACCAGAAAAAGAGCTAATTGGAGAACTCGACGCTCGCTCTATTGTAAGTGTGATGAACTAAATATATGTTGAAGGAATTCCCTTTAAATAATGTAGTACACGAAAATAGGTGAAGATTATTAGAAAAATGTACGGTGGGCTGGAAGAAGTGATGAATGTGTTGTTTAGTGAATGGATATTTTAATTAATGGATAAATGAGTCAATAAAGAGTTAGAATTTACTGATTTTTCTTCTAAGCCAACAACTGTCCGTGCTTTGTTTATAAATGAAGAAAGTTCTATTTTAAAGTCAAAAAAATTTTATTGTTGTTTTACACCAAGCAACGCCCTCTTTGGGATAAAATGTATGTTTTGAGGTAATGTAAATTTTCAGACAAAAATACTTTGTGTTTTTTTCAAAACTGTATTTTTTAATATACCAATATTTCTATCAACGACTATGTATCATTGCTTCTAAGTCATGGAATACTTGTTTTCGAGTTAAGAAACGTGTGTACTAAGTTATGTTTTGTCGGTTTCTATAGCTTTACTAAAGTCAATTATCTCGGTTTCTATAACTGTATTAAACTGAAGTTCTGTCGGTTACTATATCTGTGCTAAAGTCAATTATCTCGGTTTCTCTAACTGTATTAAACTGAAGTTTTGTCGGTTACTATATCTGTACTAAAGTCAATTATCTCGGTTTCTCTAACTGTATTAAACTGAAGTTTTGTCGGTTTCTATATCTGTACTAAAGTGAATTTGGTCCGTTTCTATAGCTAATATTAAATTGATGTTTTATCGGTTTCTATGTTATACCTTGAAAACATAGTATGAAGAGAGGAAAAAGATTTAGAAAGTATGATTTAGTAAGCTATGATAATCGTTAAAGTTGAGAAGATATTAGATAAATAAAGCCAACGTTTAATAGTACACAATAAATATTTAAAACGAGATCTGTCTCCAGTCTCAAAATACAATAAAGATAATTTTTACTGTAAAGATAAATTAAAATCCGTGAGACTGAAAATATTCTTATATACTCTATATGTTTCGACGTCTTACATATTGATCATCAGGACCGCAATATTCTGCATAAATTAAGACCTCTATACCATATCAAAATCATATGGTCAAATTTACATACAATTTAGCTTAAGAGTTTGACGCCATCTATTGGCAGCATTCCCCTCTGGTCCTTCATCCTTATCTAATACTGTAAAATGATTTTTATTACATTTGATTATGTCAGTAGAATCACGGATATTATTACTATTAATGTTTAAAGGTTGAACTAAAATAAAAGTTTCTTTTTGCTTTGCCCATTGAATCAAGTGTTTAGTTTCATTAGTATGTTCAACTAAAAGCGAGATCTTTGTATTATTATTATTATTTCTACCATTTATTTTGTGTTAATTTTCATATTATTTTGTATATATCACTTTTTTCCCCTTAAATCTACTTTAGTTATATTGAGAATCTGACTAATCTTGTTCACCTGTCTATATCGGAAAAATGATTTTTAAATTGTTACATTATTTGACAAGATAAACCGGGTACAAATGTATTAATACAAGCCTTTCTGGTTTTTCAGCAAATGCTTTTAACGTAATATTTTTATCCCGTTTATTTTTTTGTTTCTTGACAGCTCTATCAACAATATCAGGATTAAAACCTCTTTCTACTGTTACATACTTGATTAATAATAACTAATTGTTAGTATCTACCTCTTTACAACATAATTTTAAAATTCTATCGACATAATAATAAAACATTCTAGTTTTTTTGTTTTGTTTTTTTAGAATAGTGTGACACGATTTTTCGTGTGTGAGCATGATTACCAAGAATGGTTTTCGGTACATTGAAATTTCTCTCATTTTTAGTTACTCAAACATCTAAGAAAAGGGTAAGCAGTTATTTCCTTAATTTCATATGTACGTTTAATAAAGCTGTCAAATTAACTAACTGTTATTAAGGTGATTAACAAAATCAATTCAATTCTCTCTACTATGCCTTCATATCAAAAACATGAACTCAATATACTTTACGTCTCCGTTTGTTAATTGATTTTCCGTAACTTCGTTCCGACGAAACTTAAGCGACACAAGTTCTTTACTTAATAAAACTGGTTTATTCTTTCCGAATACAACTTTACCGATACACTTATTCTCAACAGTAGCGTTATAACAAACTATAATAACGAACGAACGTTAACTACAATAATACGTCTATCTCTGACTGCAGTTCAATTACTCACTATCCACGCACACATTACATTCCCCTCTTTTATATACCAGCGTACCCTATTTCTAGTAAGAACTTGAACATTCGCCAAAGTACATGATAGTTCTAGAAACGTTGCGTCACGGTGGTCATGTGACTCGCTGACGCAACACTGGCCCCTCCTTAATATTGTTC